TCAATATGTAGGTTGAAACATGATTATTAACTGAAACAGAAACAGCTTTGTAGGAGGAATACAACTGGGTGAGGAACAGCCAAACTCAGCTAACAAGGTGATGCTGCTGTAGAGATTTTACTGTCAAAAGTCATACACCATGGCAAGACTGGGCACAGCAAAGACACAAGGTAGTTACACTGCATCAGCAAGGTCTCTCCCCGGCAGACATTTCAAGGCAGACAGGGGTTTCCAGATGTGCTGTCTCCCTTTTGAAGAAACACAATGAAATGGGCAATGCTAAGGACCATAGACGCAGTGGTCGGCCAAAGAACCCGCTGCAGATGAATGATGTCCAGTAGTGCCATCATCTCAGAACTGACAGAAGACAGTGGGACCCTGTTACATGCATCTACTGTCTGGAGAAGTCTGGTCAGAAGTGGCCTTCATGGAAGACTTGTGGCCAAAAAGCCTCCAACATGGAAACAAGGCCAAGCAACTTAAATAAGATGAAAACACAGAAACTGAGTTTTGTGAAACATTTGGCTGAAGCAGAAGGCAGCTGGTCATTAGGTCAGAATGAACGGTCTCCTCAATGCTGAGAAGAACAGGCAGATACGTATTTATCCTGCAATGCCATCAGGGAGGCATCTGATCGCCTGGGCCTCCAGCACCACTGTGAGGAATCTTGGAGTTATTTTTGATCAGGACATATCCTGCAAATTTCAAGGACCGCATTTTTTCACCTACGTAATATTGCGAAAATCAGGAACATCCTGTCTAAAAATGATGCAGAAAAACTAGTCCATGCATTTGTTACTTCTAGGCTGGATTACTGCAATTCCTTATTATCAGGCTGCTCGAAAAAGTCCATTAAGACTCTTCAGCTGATCCAGAATGCTGCAGCACGTGTTCTGACAGGAACAAGGAAAAGAGATCACATTTCTCCTGTTTTAGCTTCTTTGCATTGGCTTCCAGTAAAATCCAGAATAGAATTTAAAATCATTCTTCTTACCTACAAAGCTCTCAATGGTCAGGCATCATCTTATCTTAAAGAGCTCATTGTACCTTACTACCCCACCAGAGCACTGCGCTCCCAGAATGCAGGGTTACTTGTGGTTCCTAGAGTCTCCAAAAGTAGACTAGGAGCCAGAGCGTTCAGCTATCAAGCTCCTCTCCTGTGGAACCAGGTTCCAGTTTGGGTTCAGGAGGCAGACACCATCTCCACATTTAAGAGTAGGCTTAAGACTTTCCTCTTTGATAAAGCTTATAGTTAGGGCTGGCTCAGGTTAGTCCTGAACCATCCCTTAGTTATGCTGCTATTGGCCTAGACTGCTGGGGGATTTCCCATGATGCACTGAGCTCCTCTCTCCTCTACTTTCTCTCCCTCTGTATGCAACTTCATCCCATTATTGCATGTTACTAACACAACTTCTCCCCTTTCTGGTAGTCTTGTGCTTTCTCGTCCCTCTCCTCTCTCCTCCTATCACTTCCTGCAGGTGTTTCTGGCTCTGGAGCTGTGGAGTCTGGATCTGTGGTTGCGAGTCACCTGCTCCCACTCTTTGCTATAATTATTATTAATAGTCATATTGTGATTATTATTATTATTATTATCAATTAACATTACTATAAATATCTGTATCATTGTTCATTCAGTCTGTACCACTATTACCTTTACCCCCTCCCTCTCTCCCTCCTTCTCTTGCCCCCTCTCTCTCTCTCTCTCTCTCTCCCCAACCGGTCGAGGCAAATGGCCACACACCCTGAGCCATGGTTCTGCTTAAGGTTTCTGGCTCTTAAAATGAAGTTTTTCCTTGCTTCTTTCGCCTTGTGCTTGCTCTCGGTGGGAATTGTTTTTTTCTGTAAATAACATCACAGAGTTTGGTCTAAAACTGCTCTTTTATTAAAAGCGCTATGAGATAATTGTTTTTGTCATTTGGCACTATATTCATTAAAATTGAATTGAGCTGAATAGACCAAAGACCCAAAACATACAGCCAAAGTCATGAAGAATTATCTTCAGCGTAACAAAGAACAAGGAACAAGGGAAGCGATGGTATGGCCCCCACAGAGCCCTGATCTCAACATCATCCAGTCTGTCTGGAATTACATTAACTGACAGAAGCAACTGAGGCTGCCTAAATCCACAGAAGGACTGTGAGGAGTTCTCCAGGATGTTTGGTTCAACCTACCTGCCGAGTTTCTTCACAAACTATGTGCAAGTGTACCTAGAAGAACTGATGCTGTTTGAATGCAAAAGGTGGTCACACCAAATATTGATTTGATTTAGATTTTTCTTCTGTTCACTCACTTTGCATTTTGTTAATTGATAAATAAAATCTATTAACATGTCTGGTTTGTCCACATTTGCACAGTGCTGAAACACTGTTTTCCTGCGCCCAGTGTACTGTTTGAGAGCAGCTTATCACCCTCAGTCACAAGGAGGGCAAGTGCCCCCACCTTTCTATTTATATATATATATATATATATATATATATATATATATACACATATTTAACCAAAATTGTACAAATCTGTTAGTTTACTACACAGCAAAATAAGGTTTCCTTGCAACAATTTAAAAAATTGCACCGTATTGCTTTTTGTTTTTCACAGCACGCTCCGTCTGATCAGGCCCCTAAACACCCACAACCCTGGAGCCATCATAGTGCCTGGATTATCTTTACAAAAGGGCATTCATCTTGAAATGAACACACAGATACAAAAGACAATAGTCTAACCTATGGATACATAAATTACATGACATTCATATTCATATAGGTTTTCATCAGTTCTACGTAGTTAGTGGCCCCACAGAGGAACAGTTTATCGGTATTTCAGTGCCATGTTTTGTTATAGTTAGACATGACATATATTGTAATGACTCAGAATGTCATCAAATAGCTTGTCAGTGGTACTATTCTACTGTTCTAGGTTTTTATCTGTATAAGCTAATAGCAATTTCTGTTGGCACTTTAAGCATGGAAACAGACAACAATCACTGGATTACTATTGATATTGAAGAAAACGTCTGATTTCTGAGCTCATTTATGGACATTTATTTGTGTTTATTTAGTAAATATCATTTACCATTTTAAAAAAAATAGTGAGTCACACTGATTACAGCAACTTGTGTGTCAGATTGGACTGAAACTAATACACAAAAAAGTAGTGATTAATCATTGAGGAAAGTAATTATTTTCTGTAGCCCTAAACACTACCCTTACTTCCTTCATTACTTCCTTAGCTCTCCCTCTGTAACAGGTAGTCTAACACATAGTAGTGCAGCCTCTTATCTTTGCCCTCCAGACCAATGTTGGCTTCCCTTTACTTTTAGAGGAGAATAAAAAACAAGACAGCAAGAGAGGAACATAAATAAAGCAGTCTGGTGGCATCAGAGAAAGAAGGATGGAGGGGTGGAATGAAAAAGGAGAGAGATGTTGAGGAAGGGGATTAGTTTCAAACCAGTGCTGGTAAAAAGACTGGCAATAAGCTTCAAGAGTCGGACAGAAAGAGATACTGGTGGAGATGACAGTAAGGAGAGAAAGAGGTGAAGAGGAAGACAACATGGGGGAAGGAATGGGACACATCAGAGAAATCCTGTCCTTCCCTTTACCTGCCTACTCTGTGTCCCCTGATTCAACGTCTGTCTTCTCATTTTTTTTCTCTTTACAAACCTATATTTCCTTTTTTTTTCCTATGACTTCGCTCTCAGTTTTCAAATTTTTTCTAATTTTTCTCTTTATTCATAATCTCCCTTCACCCATCTACTACTCTTATCATTCTGCCCATTTATTTTCTTACCTTTCTCTCTCTTTTTCCTCTCTGGCTGATGTTACTTTTATTGCAATCCTTCCCCATCATCCAGAAGATAAAACACTCGTCCCCTTTTTCTCATCAATTGAACGAGGTAAAACAAATCATTGCAATCACACACTCTCACCTTTACAACATACATTTATAGGCAGACATCGATTGCATTTTCATCCCATATGCCTGTCCTTAGCGTGAGTGAGAAAGGGAAATGATTATAGATCTCTCCTCTGGACCCTAGTTAAAATCGACGACCCAATGCATAATGTCTAATGGATACTCATTTTGGTTAGTTGGCATTCCCTATCCATTATCAAGTCTATTCAATCAAAGCCAATATGTACATGGTTTATGTCTGGTGGTTAGAGTTTTTAATACAAGAATCCATATAGTTTTATATCTGATTGTCAAGTCTGATTGTGAATCCAGTGAGTCATAAAAAAAAATTTCATTCAAAGCTGCAGAGCTGGCCTTACCTGTTAGAAATTCCTTGCAGGTGGTAAATACAAGAGAATGTTAAGTTTACACACATATGGAAAGTAGATAAATTAAAATGTAGAATTTTAAGTTTTAAATAAATTGTTCAAATAAATACTGATAGCATTCTTACTTTAGTTTGGGATGTAATCACTCCAACCAGAACCATACCTAGAACTTTATGTGTCTAAATAAATGACCACAAACTAATTGACATGCAAACCTGAGGCAGATAGTATTCTAGAATGTGAATACTGAATGCTTTCTGGGCAAACTATAATAATGTGTATTCTTGCTGTTTGCTGCTGTGTGTACCTGAAGGGAACTTAAAGGTAACAAGATACACAAACAATTCAATGATAGTGGGAGTAGCAGGGGTTCAATAGCAGCCCAAAGCTCAATTCTGCCCTAGGGTCCCCTAGCAAGTTAATCTAGCCCTGTCTTGATGTTGTAGTCGAATGGACCAAGAGACTATCCAGTGGATGCAAATGATTGCTTAAGTAGTATTTTTGTCAAGGTACATTCCCAGAGTTTCTAACTCATTTCCTTATCTGAGTTAGGATTGATCTAAATCCTAGTGTTGTGCTCAGTTCCCTGGAGAGATACTGTCCTGATATACCTGATAAATGCAGGCCCTGATATTTGCGGTGTATCCAGCTACATTTTTGTTAACATCTTTGAGAAGTTATTGTCATAGTAAATACTGTTTCTGCCTGTTTTCTGTTTTATAGTTATGGCAGAGTCTATGCAACAGCAGACCCCTACCACCATACGATTGGTCCTGCAGCCACATACAGCGTGGGCACTATGGTGAGTGTGTCTCCTATTTCTTAGCTGTTGACTGTCTGAATATTGTGTCAGACTGCATGTGCACGATACTGTATGTATCGTGATTAAATGGAGCAGGTGCAGCATCCTCACACTGTACCCGGACACATAAATGTTTCATTTTACAGAACATCAATTTTACAACAGAAAATGTCAACTAACTATTCATATGAACTACTAACCCAACTTAACTACTAACTGTAAATAAAAATAAAATAAATCATTTGCTGACATACTTTATTAATAGTCTATTCAACAAATGAGCTAAAGGTTCCTATGAGTTGTGTTTCCCTTTGAGAGATTTTAATGTTTAATGTGAATCTTTGCCACTTCAGTAAATGAAAAAGGGACATTGCCTTATTCTCAAACTCCCCAATCAATTTCATTGGCCTGAAGCTACTTGCTTGAAATCCAGACTGAGAATTCCTTCCCACAGGAAACAGTCTCTTCAAGTTTTGCAAAGGGAGATAGTCGAATGGTTAATGTTTGTTTTTAGCTAGCTTTGCAGCTAACATCAAAGATGAAAAAAAATCTTTAAAAAGAAAGAAACTGAGCATCACAGAAGATGTGGGAGAAAGAGAAAGTACAATTTGTTTTCTTTCGTGGGTGTGGGTAAGGACTTCCTCCAAAGATTAACGACCATCTAGTACATGCTTCAACGTGCCATGGGAAATTAAAGTAGAAAGAGAGAATGATAGACCAGAAATGAAGGAAAAGTAGGAGAAGGAGAGGGATAATTAAAGTTATTGGTAGCAAACCAAACTTGGATTCCAGACAGATGAAGCTCGATGCTGAGTACTTGTGATGGAAATTGAAAGCCCCCACCCGCCTCAAACACCCCCCTTCCTCCCCTAGTGCAGCTGCTAGCTAAAAGCCTTCATTAATTATGACCATTATTTCCTCTTCATTTACTTAATTAAAACAGTGGCCTTTGTTTTCCTTCTTATTACTCTACACTTTCTTCTCTTTTTTCTTTAAATTAGTCCTCCCTTTTCCCCATCCTTCCATATTCAATATAAAAAAACTCAGATAATCTCAAACTCATGCCTTACATTCTGACTGAAACAAAACTTAGTAAGACCAAACTTGTCAAATTTATGTTATAATGATGAGACTGATAAATTAAATAAAATTATGGGTTGGATAAGTGAATACCCAAAATGTCTCCAGATGAGCAAAAGTTTAAATGCTAATGAATCCATTCATTGTGCTTTGTGTGGTTCTTGTCCCAAATTCTATTTTCTACATAAATAGAAAAGATGATTTTTGATTAGTGTTTCTTTCAAGCCCTGTGAGTTTAGACCAAACTCCTCTGTGTGGTTGTATAGAGGATGGCAGACATCTGGATGCAGGCTTTATGGGCAGGACTAGGTAACCAATTCACTGATTTGGTGAGGGTTTTTTTGTTGTTGAAGCCCTCTGCATTGAAATGAATGAGGTGGCTGTCTATTTTCACGCAATACTAATGTCTGTCTGAACCTACCCACTATCCTACAAATTTCATCCATATTGGACAATTCACTCCTCATGATTTATGTCCAGTGCTAACATTCACTATCGGTGCAGGAAGCAGTGTGTCCTTTATGTAGGGAGGTAGAAAGTAAGGCTGTGAAGCTTGGCTGGTGAATAGAGTGTAGCATGTCAGACTTTCTTGCAGGAGACCAGAGTTGATGTCCCATCACAGACCTTCAAATATAATGTTTGTATTTTTATAATCTATGATCTAAGGGTGGGCAATACAGCCTTAAAATAATATCACAATATTTCAGGGTATTTCTGTGATTATGATGTTCTTTACCATGTGACAAAATACTGGGAAAAAAGTTTATTGTTACACTTCTTGCACTTCTTGCATATTATTGTGGTTTGTTGTACATCTGCTCTTTTGTAACCAAACCACTTCCACACTACTAAAGTTGTTCCCATTTTTAAAACTCCAGCAATGTTAATTTTACTTTCAGCTATGCTCGTTGTTGCTGTGCATAACAGTATGAAATTATTACATCAACAAGTTGGAATATTGCCATTATCACGACATGAGGTTTTTTTGGCCAAATTAAATTTTTTACCAAAATTATCGTGAACAATATAATATGAAATGCCCTACCATGATCTTTGCTTAACCTTAACCAAGTCTTTTTGTTAACTAGTCAGAACAATACCTTAACCATAGTTTATTTGCTATAAACATAATCTATCCCTGAACCTAAGAATATTATTACAATAACAGAACCAAAGTTGCATTGTAAGTAATGTAGGTGCCAGGCTTATACAATATCTCTAGTTTTGCTTAATCGATTTTATTCTAATCAATACTGTAGAAAAAAAGTAGACATTGGGCGTGAAACAATTTTGGAACAGAATGTAAGAATTGTCCAATATTGACCTTCTTATCTGGTGATAAGGGGCTAGTCTGAACAGAGCCTCAGTACCTGTAACATGGAGAGCAATACAGATCCAGTTTTCCCTCAGTCTCTATTCAGCTACACTGCAGAAATTAGAATTAGGAAACCATCTTGTTTTGTTTTGAATACAATTTCTTAATGCCAACTAGTAGTTTTGGGATAGTTAAGTTGTCATCCAAAGATTATCACAGTGGTCGAAAGCAAGAATTGCCATGTGTATTTTTTTCCACTAGAAGCTATAGCTAAAAAGCACTAAACTTGTAATGTGTCTGTCTCTGGCAGTTCTGAGAATCATTATTCTATTTCAGAGACATTAAAGCTTAAAGACATGTATGTTTTGAATATTTTCCATGAGGCGTCTCATCAAAAGCAAAACAGCATTACTGTTAGGGATTCAGTGAACATAAACTCACTTAAACATGGACATGTTGTATAACGACATACAGAATATGCTATGGAAGTTGGGAACAAGTATCAAAAAGAAAAAATATCTAAACTTATAAATTCATGCTCATGTACATACAGCAGTCACATGCATCCAATTACATTCTTTCACTTCACAAATTTCCCAGCTACTTTGTGCACAACATCACTCTGAATTAAACAAGTGATAAAGGGAGGAATGTTTCTTTGGAGGAAAGAGAGAAGTTCATTTTAATATTAATAGTTCATTTTAATATTAATATTACAAACAAAGAAAAATACTGAATACTGACTTTTTCATCTTTGATGTTGCAGGCTAGCCTTTACAGAGGAGGGTGCAGTCGCTTCACTCCCTACTAGAAAAGAGGGGGAAACGCCCCGTTCCATGCCCGCAAAACAGACAAAAAAACAGCAACAAATTAAATCAGTAAATAACCATCTTCACCCTCTTCATGGAAAACTAAAAACAAAATGCTTCCAGGTGGCAAATGTGATCCGGAAATAAAAGTATCGTTCTCAAGTTGCTTCCCAATTTACAGAGTGTACACATTGTTATTCAATAATGTTGCTTACTTATTTTGGAAAAGAAAACTTTGTCACTCTGTGTTGACTTGAAAGTGTTTGCATTTACATGTCTGTAGTGGATAAAAAGCAACAATAGTCAATGTGGACAAAGTGGGAAAGAGTGGAAATAGGAAACTTCTCCCTCATTCTCAATCTTTTCCACAATAAGTTATTGGTCCGCAACTCAGTTCCTTTGAGGTGGCCTTTTGTGTTAGTTTTAATCGGATTTCCCTAACTTTATTGTTTCAATTAGTAATTTCCCCCTGTGCATTAACACTAACACTACCGTTCAGCAATTCCAGTTTAAGCAACACATTCCAGATTAGATTTATAAAGTAAGTGATACAGCCATTCCATCCCCTTCGAGAACTGCTTCCATTCAAAGTGAGCCAATAACAGGAGCTGAGTTTCTGACTGACTCAAAGTTGTTCAGCCCAAAGTAGGTGAAACTGCAATGAAATGGCTACCAGGAAGTGATGTATTATGAAACCCACAAGGTCAAAGGAAGACCATGATGCATTACTGAGTCTGAATGCAGGAGGAAGTGATGTATAGCAGGGTGTGGAGCAAGAGCTATGGCAGCCATTGCAAAATGGGCAGCAGTGTGTTAGAGGCCATTGATCATTGGCATAGTGCCAGAGGCAGGAGGTATCCCATTACTGCTGAATGGTTTTAAAGGAGAAAAGTACATTATTTCCACACCGCTTCTCATTGTTTCATGTTTCCTCATAACCTGCACATACTACATAACAATCCCACATTTGCTATTTATGATATCATTTTCATTGGACATTAGAAGTAGTGATAGCAGTAACTATAAGTAGTTTTTTTTAACGATGATCAATAAATGTATTTTTGTTAGTTCTGTGAAAAGCTGTACACCTATGTTCTTATCAGCAAAAATCTGTCATTGTTTTTCCATGGATGTAGACAGCTAGCTATTTAGGTCCCTATTCTCAATTTTGTCAACAAAGCTCTGATTAGTCAGTTGTTACACCAGAATACAATTGTCAATTAGCACAACACCAGACGCATTTGATTTGTGTTGATGTGGGCAGGTCTGGAAGCAGGGCAGGACTTCAGCAACTGCTGAGAAATATATATCTGTCTCTTTAGCTGCTAAATGTCCAGTATCAAATATCCTGGTGTTTTTGCAGGACACTGTTGCTGACAAGAGTTGATGAGAGCAGCTGAGACTCAACCATATAGTAAATGGTCCTTACAAACAAAACAAGAGCTAAAACAAAGGCACCAAGCTCCATGGAGCAGTGTTGGGAGATAATATTTAATGTAATACAGACTCAGACTCTTCCTGTCTGCCTCTTCATTCATCCAAACTTTTTGTGTAAGTTATCAGGCCTCTAAATCTATTTCTAGATCGGAGATGTGGTTCACAATGTAACATTAGCATAATCACAGGAAAAATATGGTGTGTCGATAGTGGTTTCGGATTTTAATGCGTCAGACACTGGACGTGTACCTGGCAACATCAGTGCAGCTTCCAGCACACCTATAGCTGTTAGCCATGGGAGAAGTGATGGAGATGGAGGAAGAGCATGTTTGCGCTCAGGATAGAATTAGCATTATGTC